GAAAAGTGTACTCGTATCCGACCCTACCCCTCTTGCTTTCTGTACCCCATAAAAACTGCCTTCACCCCGAGTTCGGGGCTCGTCCTCGGCTTGCATGCCAGGAGAGTCCAGGCCCGGGGGCCCCGGGCTTCCCGGGTCTGTAATAAATCTCATCTTATGCTGTTTACATCGGAGTGAGTCTCGAGTTTGTCGGTTGGGGTTAATTTGGGAAGTTTTCTCGGACCCAACACTATTATCCAAAATTATCTGCATGTAAATTAAACTTGAGGATTGGGGGAATACAGGGAAAGGAAATGATTCCTAAGAAGGTGAGCACATGGTCAAGAGTCTTTGTCTACAGAAGGCCATTATCAAGGCCTAATAATTTGTGATGACTGGCACCTGTAAAATCAGTGCTCCATCGATTTGCTTTTTCAATGATGGCAAACAAAAGCGTGTGCTTTGGGATGAGAACAGAAAACCTTGGCAGTTTTTCTAACTGGTCTTCTGATTGTTCAAGGATTTTACTTGTGTTTTATATTAAGCAATGTGAGCACTGTATATGTGTGTTTTGCTGATAAGAAGAGAAAAATGAATTGGCAGACACTTTCCCAGACAAGACAGGAGAGCAGTATTTGCACAAAGTGGAAATTGCACTGCCTTCCTGGCTGATCACAGCACTGATGTTCAAAGCTTTCAGATCATGTAATAGTCTTATGTTCAGGTATACAGCATGGAAAAGAGAAAGATATAAGGCTGACTTGAGGATGCATGAAAAAATGAAAAGCTTTTATCTGAGAAAGCAAACTTGCTGGCTATAGGTTATCTGGCCACCTTTAAAGGGAAGGAATTAATTAATAACAACAGCTGAAGGGCAGTAGCTAATAGGTACCATCACAAAATACATTCTTATTTGCTGGGCTATGACTCACAGCTGCAAGAAGATACAAGGAAATACCAGTTCCACAGAGTTCCACCAGTCCCGCCATTTCTCAGCACCTATGGATGAAAATGGGGATCTTGACTTCTCAAAGCACCTAAAGCCAGGGGGAACTGGTCATCTACTAAAGGGAGTGTGATGACCTAGCCAGTTGGTGGCCTTCATACCACAATACAAAATCAAAGATGTTCAGTTTTGCAAATTACCACATCACAAAAGATATTAACTATGGTCATTCACCTCATTGCCAACAAAGCACTGAATGAATCTTTGCCATAAAGCTATTACACTAATAAAAGAATACCAGGCAGAAAAGCTATTTGCTGAGTTGGGTTCTCGTTTATTGGGAATATAAAAAAAGTTTGTTAAGGCTTTGTAACTGTTCTCAAATTAATGGCTGACATAGGAACACAAGTACATATTTCAGGATAAATGCATTATATAATCCTGAATCATTAAGAGTTTATTTAAGATTCTACACAACATTCAAAGCTAGCAGTATTCACAAACATAGTTTAAAGGGAAAACAACTTCCTATTTTTACTTCTATTTTAAATTCTTTCATGCTTATAGAGTTTATAAAAAATGTACATAAAGTCAAGCGTTTTAATGGATGGTAGTGAATTATTCTGAAACTAAGTGACTACAAATAAAAATATTTTGAGAAAGGATAACATATTATTTTCTACCTGGGTAATTACTCAGCCTGCAGGCAACAGTCCCAGCAAGGGCTGAGCACTGTAACCAGAGTGATGTCAAGTCACAAGACGCAGCACTCAGTAAGAAAGACACTGACAAACAATACAGAGACTTTATGCTGAGAAATTCAGTT